ATTTGTACGCTTAGCAATTTTAATACTCTGATAGGAAAGGTGCAGGGGTGTATTGGTTTTGTGCAACGTCCACTGGGAGTCAATAAAATCAATAATCGCCAATCGATAAGGCCTAATATAGCAAAAGCCTACATATTCAGCATTTTAAGAGGCAAAGTTATCAAACTTTAAAGGCAGATTAGAAGAAACTACCTTCAAGGATCGGTATTTTACCCACCCCGTTCTGTGGCACCTGGTAATACTTTCTATGATGTCAGAGTATTTCGCAGTCAGATAAGGCCAACTGCAACATTCTCGCTTGTTTTTTGTATGCGCTTTGAAGCTGGGTTTCACCGAAAACTGTGTATAAATAGATTAATTATTATATTGCTTATAAGCATTACATATAATTATGCACAGGACATGGCCCGTTTTTCTGGTGTCCTGCTAAGTATCCTGCCTGCCTCTAATTGCTAAGCATTCGATTTTCGTTGGGTTTTTATTTAACACGCTTGAATCTAAATTGAATTTTAAATATGCATAGACAAGAACACTTCAACTTGGGGCAGGTGGCAGGTGGCAGATGGCAGTGGCAACGAACACCTGGCAGCCGAATCAGAGGGCATGACCCCACAACAAACAAGAAACCTGAGCACTGCCATCGATTTTTGGGCCCTTCGACTCGTTGCGGCGTCTTTAAAGTTTATAAATATTTATTGCTATATTTTTGGCAGTTTACTTTTGTTGTTCCTTTTTTTTGCGGCTTCCACACTTTGCTTTCCACAGCTAAATGTGTGCTTAAGGGAGTGGGTGGGGTTGGGGTCGCACAGCTGAAGATGCATTATAAATGGTGTTTGTATTTTCAAGTGGCACTTTTCATTTACAACTAAGTTTTGGCTATTTTGCTTGCAGCTTGCTATAAAACAAATTGTAGACCGAATTTTGATAGCAACAGGAAACTTCTACGTAACCATTAACTATATATATATAGTTAATCAGCATCAACAGAAACAACGATTTAACCATGCCAGGCTGTCATTCTGCAGCTGATCGCAGAGTCAGTAAGAGCTAAAGACTTCAATTAAGGCATAAAGAAAAATTAAATAAATATCTTTCTAATTAGATGTGCATCGCAATCATCAATATTATGCGCTGTAAGAATTTCAGAAAAATCTGTTGAGTTGCACAGAAGAAAATCTGGAAGTGAATATTTCCCAGTCGAGCCCTCTCGACTCGAACATTCTTACATTTGAAGCTGTGGATTTTCTAAGATTTCCGCCATAAACCAAATTTCGTAAACATTTTTGTAAAGTGCGAAAAACCAGAAACGATTGCCGTCCTATGACATTTTTACTTTGTCAATCACATTACGCTTTAACTGACAGCTGCTGAAATGGCTTATGGATTTATGTGTCATAATGTCACTAGATGTTTGTTATGTGTATTTGTGTGTGTGTGTGGGTGTGTGTTCTCATTGCTCATTCTAGCAGCTCATCAATTTTTCAATGGCTCTGTCAAAATAAAGTGATGTCTGCCACATTAGCTGTCCGTCTGTCCATCTGATTTGAGATGTGTGTTAACAAGCCATGGCTTAATTAGAATTCCTTATTGAGGACTTTAAACGCTTGTGAGCTTAACTGTCTGACTGTTAAGTTTAATGTCCAATTAATAAACATAAGGAGCAAACGCTACATATGCGCAACGCCTGAAGTGATTGATGACAAATAAGTAAGCGTGTCCTCGTGTTCGTGTCCTTGTCGCAGCAATTTGTTGGCCTAAAAAGGATTCTCATGTCTTGCTTTGCGGCAGCTGTAAAGAAGCAATTTAAATTTCGTGAATAGATTTGCCGAATCGATATGTGGCCAAACGAAAATAAACCCTTTTCTTTCGCTGCTGCTGCGGCTGCTGCTGGTCTTCCTTTTTGCAGCCTGCCTGCCAGCCTAAAATATATAAATATTTTAACTTAATAAATGCGGCATCAAGTCGCTGGCCGACAGCAGCCTGCGGTTGCTATCTTCTACAACTCGGACAAGTGCTGAGCACACAAGCATCGACAACATTTACATAAACCGGTCCACGACGAAGGACGAAGGACTAAGCACCAAGGACGATGAGCCTTTTGTTTGGCTCGTTGCCCTTTTCTCGTTGGCGCGCCAATATTTTCAAGTTTTTGCAATGCTCGCGGCTGGTCCTCAGTCTCGGCTACTGCTTGCTATGGAAGGTGGGTGCAGGATCTCAGGTTAACCTTAAAGCAGCTAATGGTCGATGAGCCGCTGGGAGCTCCTCTAAGCTGGTGCCCTTTTATCGCCACAGAAACTACAGCAACCGCAACCTGACAAACACACAGTCAAGCGGAAAGTTTCTCTACGGGTTTGGGGAGGGCAGTTAAATGCCAAGCAAAATAGACATAAAAATCGCTTTTAAATAAAATCACAAGTCAAGAGTGGCACACAACAAAAATCAATGAGGCACACAGAATTTATAGCACAACAAATTCGAGCTGTTGTTGCTGCCTTTGCATCAGATACCCTGTAAACGAGTAGACTGGGGAAGGGTAGTAGAAATGGTTTTGGATAAGGGTATTGAAAAGTAAAAGAAGAAGTATAAATGGTCGTAAGATAAACAAAAGTGAAAGTAGAAATAGCCGAAAAAGATGTAGAAGATGTGAAGAAAGTATAAAAAGGCATTGAAGTAATTAAAAGTAGAAGTAGAAGTGGATGCAAAAGTGCCAAAAGTAAATGGAAAATGGAAGCACAATTGGGAGAAGAATAAACAGAAAAAAAGTACAAAAAGCGAAGTGTTGATTTTACAAAACAAGGAAAAGAAAAATATGAAATGTCAAAGGTTAAAGTATGCAACAGTTATTTATCGACTTTTTGAACTCTTGAACATAAACCCACATTTTAGTTATATATTTATTTTATCATTTATTGATTTGAAGCATTTCAGATATATATCTTTTGCCTTTTTCTTGCTTGGTTAATATTCCATAATCCATATTTAAAAAGGGTCCTTCGAAGGAGAAGTGGTAAGAGAAAGTAAAAGTCGAAATGGCTTTGAAACTAGCAAAAGTAAGTAAAAACAGAAGCAGAAGTGGAAGTGGAAATAGAATTGGCAGAAAAAACAGTACAAAAAACTTTGAGTTTACAAAACAAGTTGGAGAAATGGATGAAAAAGAACACTTTAAACTATGCAGAAGATAATATTGAATTCGAAGACTTGAAATTAACTAAGTTTGTTGATAGGGATATAAAATATTATACATATCAGACAGACTCTCTCTATCTATCTTTATCTACTTTACTCTATTTTTCCCTGCCTCAAATTCCATGTCTAGCAAATGTAACTTTTAAAAGTAAGTAGATGTAATCAAGAAATATGACAAAAAGCCCTCCTTCTTTGAAAAAAGGATGAAAATTATAAATTTAATCTATGCAGAAGATATTTTAGACTTATTGAACTCATAGCCTCTCTCTTTATCTCTATCTCTATATATAACGTTTATTTTCCCATTTCTCTCTCTCTCTCTCTCTTAAACTATTTCGCTTTGCATACTCATAACACCTTTCTGAAGGATATTTCCAAGTCGAGCACTCTCTGTTTGTGAACCTAGTGCAATAAATTATGCTCCTTCCCACCAAGCAACACCAATCACACAGAAACACCATACACAAGCGAGAAGGAACATAAAACACGGCACATGAGTGGTTTTCTAGGCAAAGAAAGCAGCATAAGAAATGAACAAATCTGCTCCAGGCAGGCTGCCTCCTTCGCCTGCTTTCGACTTGGCCAGCAACAAGTTGGGGTAAAAAAATGTTGCTGCTGCTGCCTTTTAGGCGCCAGTGTGCGTAGCATGTGGCAAGTTGTAGCCGCCTTTTAAGCAGCAAAGAACAGCTAACGAATGATTTAGTTGTTAGGGGCAAAATGAAATAGGTAGCTGTCAGTAATTTTAAAGATCTGTATGTTTAAAATACAGTCAAATTTTCGTTTCTTTTGTTAGCATAATTTGCATGCGTCAAATAATAGACAGTTGCAGCTGCCACGCCCAACAGCCACGCCCGTTGCCACAGCCTTGACCAAATAGTTAATTAACAATTCCAGTTTCAGTTTTCACTTTTCGAATTCAGTTTGAAATTTATAAAATTACGTATACGCCGCATTGTCTGTGTGTGTGTGTTTTAATTATATTTATGACTATTTAATGACTATGGCACGGTATTTAAATTCAGATTTCGACAGGCAGCCAGCCGCCATCATAATAAATTTAATCAATAAATAATTTCCGCAACAAGTCTCTGATTGCAATTTGATAGCTGCCCAAAGACAGGCGCAGCGCACACACAGGACTCATGAAGGATTCGAAATGCATATTTAATATATTATAATTTGTTTTCATCTCCAATGCGACAGCCGTTGACAGTTGTTGACGTGAAGCGGTGAAGTGGTGAAGGGGGAAACATACCCAACGCCAGGCCAAGCGCCCACTTCAGTTTTTTGAGTAGAGCTCTTCAGTCTCATATATATATTGCGAGGCCTATAAATAACTGAAGTACTTCCGCACAGCTTCACGTGACGCCAAAAATTAACACCTCAACGGAAAAGAAAACAGTAAGAAGGCTATAGTCGAGAGAGCTCGACTGGGAGATACCCTGGCCTCAAGTCTTTACCTATTCATAATGGAACCGATGCTTCTGAACCGATGTAGCTTTAACTTATACAGATGATCGATTTGCGACTCTCTGTTAGGGTATAAATATGTGAATTCAGCAAAATACTCTCACTCCTACTACAATACAGGCAGTTAGACCGGTAGAAGTACATGCATTATACGCATTCAAGATACCCTCTTACTACTTGGCATGCAGAGTACAGCCTGTTGGAAAGGTCAAGTAGGCCAACACTCTGCTCTACTTGACATTGCAGGCAGAAGAGAAAACAAGTGCAAGGCAAAGGCAAAGACAAAGCCAAAGAAAAAGCCAAAGCCAAAGTCAAAGACCAATTCAAATACTCGAATTAGAGGCATGAAGACAGACTCAACAGCTGACGATGAGGCCAAAGCTGTTGCTGTAAAAGACCTGACCACGCAGTTTAATCTCAAGTGGCACTCAACGCGAATAGAAAAAATAGACGCAACAGTAACAAAATAAACTAGAAACACAGAGAAAAAGCTAAAAGTGCCTTTTTTGAAGATTTTTAATTAAGCTGAAGCTAAAACTGAAGCTGACGAAGACGAAGCGTGAGCCAAAAGCTAAGGCTGAAAAAGTTTTTTGGCTATAAATTCGACGGCGGACTACAGCAAAGCCATCAAACAGTCGCAGCAACTTTTAATTGCCAGACGCCGTTAACCCAAATCCGTTAAGCAAAAAAATGGTCCGACTTCAGCGAGGATTATGGGATATATATATACATGCATTAACCTTTGTGCTCTCTACTTATTTTACCTATTTCCAGAAAATCTTCTCGCTCAGCAGTGTTTTCACCCTGTCCGCTGTGGCCAGCGTTGCTTTGGCTGCACCCCAGGATTCGTCGCAGCTGCGTCTGCGTCGCGATGTCTCCGAGCTGCTCTCGATGGATGCCAGCGTTCCCTTGGAGTATGTGCCGCCGGCAATGGATTCGCTGCTGCCAGTGGATGGAGAAGTGGAGGAGCCGAGTGCAGTGCGCGGCGAACAGGGATACGAATATCGCACTGTGCGTCGCCTGAAGCTGCGTCATCGCAATCGTCGCGATGTTTCCCATCTGCCTGCTACCCAATATCTGCCGCCGCCAAGCAACAAGTATCTGCCGCCAGGAGCAGAGGGAGCCCCAGCTACAGCTCCAGCTGCTGCTCCTGCTCCCATCGATGATACCGAGGAGGTTGTCGCTGCCGCTCTGCCCAAGGTGGCACGTGACTATCTGCCGCCAGTCAGCACTGAGGCAGCGCCCCAGCTGGAAACTGAAGCGCCAGTCGTCGTCGAGGAGGAGGAACAGCCTCAGGCAGATGTGCCCACAGCTGAGCTGCGCGACGATGGCTATCACTACAAGCAACCCATGGAGGACATGCAGTTGCAGCTCAAGCAGGCCGCTCCAGAGTATCTGCCACCCCTTGGAGATGAGGTCGTAGTCGACGGACCCGTCGATGGCGAGAGCGCTGTCCTCAACAGCGATGGCTATCAATATCGCGCCATTCGCCGTTTCAGATTCTAAACTTGGCAAACTTGGAAATCGCTTTGGTTTTGTCATTCTTTTTTGTTGAAGTTTTGTTCCTTGAATAAAGCGCATCTTTTATTGCAGCCAACAAGTTGTTTTCATTTTAAAGCTGCTCGCTTTTATATCTTCAGCACTTTATGTCCCTTTTCTATTGAAGTAGATTGTGTGGTTCAAGTTGCGTATACGCAACAATCTTTTACTTATTTTACTTTACTGCTCGGTCCACTTGTTGCACAGCTTTCCTTACAGCTTACTACACTCAGAAAGAAGTCGACCCAAATTTTAGAGAGGCTTGCCCTAAATCAACAATCCCAAAATTATGGCAATTTCTTTATATTTTTTTAATATTCTCTATTATTCATTTTAAATACGTATAAATACAAACCACTATTTTTAGAAGAATATAAGTTTATTTCATAATCTATTCTAAATTTTGCAAAAACTTACAGCGAGTGTTTTTCGTGTGTATATTCACAGCCTATGCTCACGTTGCGTATACGCAATTCGTGCAATAGGCGAATAGAGGCGTAATTTTAGTTTAGTATTTATTTTACTTACTTCGCCAACTTGTTGCTTGGTCTTATCCTATCATAAAAGGACTCTTTATTGTAGACCCAATTAGTGAAAGTTATATACGACTCTTGGCTTGATAGCTGATAGCCTTTCTACCCCATTTGTAATCCAGTAGGAAAATCGTGTTGAGCCATTTAAGTTTATTTTATATGCATATTAATGCCAACGCTAAGAGTTCGTTGCCATGGCTGCCTTTAAGGCTTAATTAATGCACTTGCGCGTTAATTCGACTCAACGGCAACAGCAACAGCAACGGCAACAACAACCACAGCAACAACCACAACAACAGCAACAACAACAGCCACAACAACAACCACAACAACAGCAACATGAAACATTAAGTGAGCACTCAAGATAAATTACTTTGGCTGATATCTCTTGCGCTTTCTATCTCTCTCTCTCTCTCTATCTCGCTCTAGCTCCTTCTGCTGCAGCTGCTAATGACAGTAAATGCTTTAAATTTCTTCGCACTATTTTAATTATGAATTCAATTGCGAGAAATTGAATTAAATTTAAAATTAAAATGCGCCGCAAGCTAAAGAGCGAAATCAATGCGAGCAATTCAATTAAACTTGCTTGTTTGCAGATTGGGAATCTCGCAACTCAATTTGTAAGCAATAAGAGCCACAAAAAGTAAATATTTATACAATCAGAAAAAGAAATAGAAGATCAAATAAAATATTTACATTGATAAAAATGCTCAGGCGTCAGAAGTGGTTTATAAGAAAAATAGTAAATGATTTTGGCAGTGAAGAGTGTCTCTGACAGCACCACTTATTGCATATTAAATAACGTGTAACATAAATTGTCAGAAAATAATAGAAATCAAAGAAACAACAAGCAGCAAAATGCAACAAGCAACAATAACAGCAATCAGACAAACATTTTTGAGCACTAGCCGGAAGGACATTTGCCAAAGCAACGACAATCTATCTGTCTGTCTGTGTGTCTGTCTGTGAGTCTGTCCGGGTGCCAGTCTGGCTGTCTGTGTTTGTCTTTAAGTGACTGCAATATTGTAAATACAAATTTAATAACATACAAGAGTCAAATGTTAACAAAATAGTGTTGTACTCAAAGAAATATTTTGAATATTAAGTAAGGACTTGCATCGCATACAATTTGATTGGAATTTATGTAAAAGTCCTTTTGGTGAACAAACTTTCTTTGACAGCTCAGCCTGAAATGTTATATGAGAAACTGCTGCATATTTGTGAAATTTAATTTCTGCATCACAGCCTCTGCTGTCACACACACACACACACACACACTCAACACACACACTCAACACACACACACAAATGTAGTACTTGAAATGAGCAAAAATCACTGCAGGCGTTAAGCACACACATTCACACACATACACATTCACACACACACACACACACACACACACACACACACACACACACACACACACACACACACACACACACACATACATATACACATACACATATACATATGCATATCTGCATGTGTGTAAGTGTTTGCTCGTCATTCAACTCATTTAAATACCCTCGCAGCGTGCAATAAAAAGAGATTTTGCAGGCACTCCCAGCTGAGCACACATCCTATATGCTTATCTCGTGACTCTCACAGCTTTCCAGTTATTTATCCGCTGGAACATCGCCTTACTATAATACTATAAGTACCATACAAATACAGCAAAGCAGATATTCTTTAAGTTGAGCTGACTACAGGATAAGAGTATTTAATCTACTGTCTGTCCAAAAAATTAAGCCAAACATTTGTGTGTATGTGTGTGTGTATGTCAGTTTGGTGAGGTCGCTTTAGAGCTCTATAAGCCATATATTTTGGAGCCAAAATATATATGATGGCTCATACAAGCTTTGTGCTTTAAAATGCGTTTACGAGACACTTCAGTGTCGCCTTTGATGGTAGTCCTTTAATCAATGTGGCATGCATACGAATGGAATACTCCTACTCCTGCACCCCTCCTCCACCTCCCTCTCCTTCTCTTCTACCTCCACCGCCTCCTCCCCCTCAGCAATCATTGCACTGTCTTTGCATGTCCTGGAATTTGGTTTTTGTCCAGCTAATTGAACGCTAAAAATACCAGCAAAATTTGTATGTTTATGAAAAGAAAAATATTTTCCATAAAACTTGAGCATTTTCCTTTCTTCCTGTTTGCTTTTAATTTTTGTGCCAGCTACAAAACTGTCAAAATTAAGCAGCTTAAATTGTTGAATTTTCAAATGGACAAAAAGTGCCGAGATAAATTTAGATTATAAATTGTATCGTGCAAATAGGAAAAACCAAAATAAATACTTTGTTGCTGTTGCTTTGTGTGTCAACAAACATTTGAAGCTAATTAAAGTGAGACACGTGTACAAAAATATGTTAGTGGCAACTAATATGTTTCATTTGGTTGGCATAGCTGACCCACAAATTGGTCAAATCCAACACCTACATAGGCAGGTACACTTAGCGAAAAGTAGTTGAGATATGAGCAGCATATTGCTGGGAAAACTATTTACTCTAGTGTCAAATCGAATCGTATTTCATTTCCGGTTGTAGTTCAGTGCAAAGGTTTCGGTTTAGCTTAGACATTGGCTCCAAATGTTTATAGTAACAAATAATTTTCTCTCAGTGTTGGTGCTGTTGCACAAGTACATAGCCCAAGTCCAACTAAAATTACACAATTTTGTGGTCATGTTAAATGAAGACTTCTGCTTTAAGGCTATTTTACCTGTAAATGAGCCGAAATCAAAAATTATTTGATTTGTTGTTGCCACTTACACACACACATGTATGTGTGTGTGTGTGTGTTTCATGAGAAAAGTTATTATTCCTGGATTTGATTGAAAATGTCTCCAACAGCTTTTGGTATTATGTGGTCACTAAAATGGCATAGCCTTACTATAATTGTGCTCCTTTAATTCGTGTAAATCTTTTCAATTTTCAGTTATGCAATTAGGTAACTGGATAACCAGGCCAGTAAGCCAAAATATTTGCTGTTCTCTTGGCTAACTTACAGTCCAGCTGACTTGGCCGAGAATGGAAGCCCAATAATTAACCAATTAGCTGAGCTGAGCAGTTCAAAGCCAAAAACTCAGATCCGGTTTACACAAGGTTCTGCGAATACAGCTCAACTTACTTCTACCTGTTTGCCGCCCTTTCGACCTTTTTCCTTTTTTATGGGCGGTGGGGGAGAGGAGTTGTGGTCTGCAGCATCCCGGAGTTATGTTTCCAAACTCCTCCCCGGAAAAAAATTGCTTATTCATAGCTGACTGCGGCCCAAATGAGCGACCATTAACTTAACTACGCCAAAACTATCCCTAAATTTTGTGTAGCTCAATGAACTTAACTCACACGACCATCTAGGTACACTGAGAGAAAAATGTAAATAGAAAAAAAAAGTGAGATAATTTTCCAATATGTTTTAATTAAATAACTTTCTGAGTCGAAACCTTAAAAAAATCTATACTATTCACATTATTCAAAAACATTCAATGTAAATCCTAACGTAAAAACAACTTTAAATATGGTTTCAGAAAAGAATTCTCTTTAGGTAAGTTTATTTGATATGATTTAGACAACATTTTCTTGGTCAAGTGTATGAGTCTGCCACAGACAGCATTCAGCGTTTGCCTATTTCAACAGTTTGATACACTTGAGAATTACAAAGTTTTGTGTAAATTTGCGCGAATCTAAATTTTTGCTGCTGATTTATGCACTGGTTTCTAGTCGGGCTGTTATTTGGGCTAATGAAAAACGCTGTCCACAAAATGGTAGCCAAAGATACAAATCTGCTTTGGGGCATATATAAACATGAACACACACAGACTCCCCCAGCACCCACGCAAACACACACAGACAGCTCTCTCCAGCTGACGTCTAAGTAACTATAAAGCACTTTGGCTTCACCCACACAGACAAGTTTAGACAGGAGGGGGGGAAAGACAACGCTCACGTGGACAGGGGAAGATAGTAGAAAGGACAAGGATGATTTTCCATCCGTCCGTTGATCCCTCTGTCCGTTTGGTTGCCAGGACAGCGCGCAGTGTTCAACTAACAACAACTGGAGAAATGAAGAGAAATAAAAAACGCATATTGCGTAAAATTCGGTGTCAAAGTTGAAGGCTGGAAGCAGGTGGAAGTCAGGTGTGTGTGTGTCTGTGTGTGCGTGTGTTGTGCGGCACTTATGAGTGGCACTTAGTCTGGTCTAATACGCATCATTAGAACATTTAACAGGAAGCACGTGACGGCTCAAAAAAAAACCAAAAAAAAGAAGAAAATTGTTGTCGTCGCGCCCCAAAAGAGAATACACGTAGTTGCCATTTTTCTGGGACACAAAAAGGATTTGTCTTGTTTCACTTTAAAGTTGAAGCAAAAACACACAGACCATAACAATTTGATAAGCTGATTAAAACTGCACTTGAGTAATCCTCTTATGGTTAACAAAGAAAAACCCTTTTCATTTTTTTTGTTGCCAATTATATTCTATTCACAAGCCATTAACAATATTCAACAGGTATTTGTTATGTTTATATATAGCCGAAAAGTTAAACGAATCAATTCTGCTTGTTATACCCTTTCAATCGTTTTGAATATGCGCGCAACCACTCTGCAGCGTTGCCACCTCTCAAACAGAGCTGCTTGACATTCACAGCGACGCTACGCCAGCGATAACAATAACAAACCGATAGCTCTGCAGCCAAAATCAAATTTGAATATAAATTTCAAACAGTTTGCTTCAATAAATAAATGCACATAATTCTTAAAATCGTTTAATTACATAGTTTATATAAAGCTAACTGTTACATCTGTATTTAGTTGTCATAAGCGGGAGTTTAATAATTAATTTATTAATTAAAGAAAGATATTTGTGTGTATGTGTGTGTTTATGTTTGTGTATTTTATATTTTTTGTTGTGACTAACCAAAATGTTCCGTGTCAGAGATGTGCTCGTTAAAAGGTAGAAAATTTACGCATTAAATCGAAGAAATACTATTGAATGTCTCCCGGCGCACCCGAAGCGAATCTCCTCGCAATCTGTGTGTCGCTTCCATTGATTTTTGGTACGAACTTTGTACATTTGAAGTTAATAAACTAAACAAGATTATCTAGTGCATTAAGTAGACAATGGCAGCGATCAAAGCGGTAAACAGCAACGAGGCACGTCCAGCCATTGCCCCCGACCGGCAATAGTACTCATCACAGTTGGCCTCCGAGATGGTTTTGTAATGCTCCAGGACCTGCGACCAATCGCACAGACCCACGTTGCACCAGTCCAGCTCCACGGCATTCTGATTGAGGAAGAAGACAACCTTCTCCTTCTCCAGCGCCTCTGTGCACTCATATTTGACGGCCACAAAATTGCCAGCAAATGGACCCAGCAAACTGGTCTTCCAACGACGACTTGTCATCGAATTGTAATTATCTGCACGCAGTGCAACATCATCCTTATTGATGCCCAGCGCCGTGAGCAGCGTCTGCAAACCCGTCGAGTGCGCAAAATAGGCGATCACATGCGGGGAGACGGGACTGCTCAGTCTTGTCAGCATATCCTGCACGGCACGACAATTGAATTTTGTGTTCTCCTCGAAGCCATAGCCCGATCCGTAATAGTATTTCAGATCCTCGGCGTATTCCAGCACAGTCACCTGCTCCGGCAGAAAGGCGCCGCACCAGACACTGGTGCGATCCACCTGCCAGGCCTGCTCATAGCGGCACATATCGTACATAAGCTCAATATCTTCCTCAGCCAAAAACGTGAAACTAAAAAAAAGAAAATGTTAAAATTACTTTGAGCTTGGTTAAATATAATCACAGTGCTGATCTCAAAATTAAACCAGTTTTCAAATGCTATGCCTTTTTCATTAAGGTTTGAGCTCTAGCTTAATTCATAATTGGAAACGGTATTCTGGCTTAAAATTCAATTTGGAATTTGCTGCTCAAAAAGTGATTGAAAGAAAAGAATGAGTTGATTTTCAGAAACCACGAAATTTGAGCCAAAAATGAGCATAGTTTGATCTCTAGATTAATGCAAAATTCAAAGCAGTAACTGACTAATACCCACCCAAGTCTTTTCGTAATATCATCCACGGTGCGATTCCAAATGGCGCTCGTGCGATACTTTTGATACTCGGAACCCTCGCCCTTGTAGTTCTTGTCCTTGAAGTCATTGCAGTAATCGTAGGGCCGCAACAGCAAATCCTGCTCGGGAATATCCGCAGCAGTTGCCACTGTGTTGTCTCCAAACAGACCCTCCGTGAAGCCTTTAAAGCTCTCTGTGGTGCGCTGGGTATCCGTGTGACGGAACTAATAGGAAGAAGAAAGTATTAATGGATCCAAGTGGAATGAGGATTAGCTTAGCAGGCTTACCAGGTAGTAGGAATCGTTGTATCTGGTGGGCAGCACTGTGGGATAGTAGTGCTGATAGACTTTGGCAGTGCCGCGCAGATCCTCGTAGCCTTGGGTGGTCAGATGCTCCTCGATATCGACTGTGATACTTGTGTTCCACTTCCACATCTGGATGGCTATCAAATCAGTCGAGCACAAAGCATTCGTCTCTGGCTTTGTGCGCAGCACACGATAGTTTTTCACAATTTGATCCCTTAGCTATAAAAAAAAGTCTATTAATATAGGCAAAATATTCAAGGATTACAGGAAGACTTACGTCCTCCAATCGAGGTGCTGCCCGGATGGTGTTTGGTGTTGGCAGTCGAGTGCCGTGCCTGTGAAAGATCCACATCTTTTTGGGCTCACAGCCGGGCACCTGGTACTGTTTGTCCATGTTGGTGCCCTTGACAATCTGATAGGCTGTCTTTGAGGTGAAGTGACGCGTCTGCTCCCGCTCCGCATCCTTGCCAAAGCAATAATCCTCCTGGCCACCAACCAGCTGCAACGCCAGCAGCGCCGTCAACAGGAGCAACAGACGCATAACTGCAAATGTGCGAAGAAAAACTTGAATATTTATATGCAAAAGGAAAGCGCATGAAAATTAAGTGGCCCAGCCCTTTATCGATATCCTTGAACTGCCATCCAAAACCAGCCGCAACGAGTGTCATATGTGGCTCGTGTTGGGATTGGGACTGGCACCGAATAGAGCGGGGAATAGGGCGGGGGAGGGAAGAGGGAGGAGGGAGACACGTGTATCGTCCAAAAAGGTGTGGCATTTAAATTGCTCGCCTGGCGTCTGCCAAGGAGTTGACTTGAGTTGACTTCAGTCAAGACAAAAGGGTGGGGCCATCAGCACTAGCGAGATTCTAGCGAAATTTTAGTCAAAGCAAATGGCAACACTCACGCACACACACACACACACACACACACACACACACACACACATATGCTATCTTGAAATTAGGCTAATGATTTTGCGACTGACAAATTGCTGCAGTTTTTCACCATTGCCCACCTATCCTTTCCTGTCTTTATTCATCATAAACGCCATCAGCCCAAATGGATCAAGATATATATGTGGCCATATAGTCGGTGTAAAGGGGGTGGAGTTGTGTTTGTTGTTTGTTGTTGCTATTTGTCATAAAAACCCATGTAATGTTTCAATTTGTAGCGCTGTTTACACGACCCGGTTCCATTCACTTTAAGACCCGCATCTAAATTGATTTATCATCAATGAGAGCAGCCCCTTTCCTCCTCCCCACCCTACTCCTCTCCCTACACCCTCACGTATTACAATCTTAATAGTGACACAATGCCAGAGACTTAATTGACAGCAACTTTTTTATGTGTAGTTTGGCATAGGTTTGTATCAGCAGGCGACGCCTTTAGCTCTTCTATCATAGCTTGTAGTTTATTCAACTCGACATTTACAACGATTTAAGAAAATGAATTTTAAGAAATTATTGGAAACTCTAAAGCCGACCAAAGGTCAAATGGAGTTGGCCAAAGCTTTGTAAGTACTTGGTCTACACTACTCTAATCATTAAATACTCCTAACTTGGCTATAATGAAATTGGGCCAAAGAACGTATCAGAAAGAAGCATCATCGATTCCATGGGCTATACATATTCATGATCAGCGTCGACAACAGAGAAGATCATAATTAGATAGATAATTCTTACTTGTTAAAACTATTTAAACTATTATGTTGACACACCCACAGCATACCCTCAGCTGCAATATTTGGTATGGCTGGTGGGTTAGGTATTATCTACTTCACCGATTGGCGAGTTATTACCGACTATATACCACTATATAACACAAAGTATCCCAAGCCGGAGAAGTCCTCGAAGTAGGCAACAGGAACAGGTGAGCTACTCTTCACAAGTTATATACCCTGTAATGTCCTATATTGAAACTGAAGTGATTTACTTGCAACGGATTTCCCCAGATGAGCGCCCCACTTTTTGTTTTAATGTTTCCTACATTTTGGCTGCTGCTGAAGGTCTTCCAAGTAGTTAAATAAACAGACGAGGAAATAAAAAAAATAATCATATCGCTGAACATGTTTCTGTATGCATTTTGGGCCCACAATGCAAAGTAAATAAATTGATGCCAATCAAAATACACAGCAACTAAAGAAACAAGACAGCAACAACGACTAAAATACAACAACTAAAATGTTGTAGCTACCAAAAATAGAAATAGAAATGATCAGATTATCTTTAGTGTGTGCAAGACTTAATACACTGTAAAGAATACTTGTGCCTCACATGGATAATGCAATTTTCTAAATCAAGAATATATATGTTATACTCTATTTATAGTTTATTTGGGGAGCGAAGGACGTAAGACGGCATAGAACACTTTTTCCATACTTAGCAAAGAAATACTTAATGCACTGCAAAGAATACCATCCCCTAACTAAGCCAACAAAAGTCTCTCGATCAAGAAATCATAGGGTATACTATATTTATACTTTATACTTTAGCTTCGGATTACCTTTGGTATGAACAAGATTAAATACACTGTAAAGAATATATAGCTAAGAGAAAATGTACATTTTATGCTATATCTACTTTAGCTGCGTATTCTCTTTGTGAAAGAAAATATTTAATGCACTATAAAAAGTCATTTTGGCAAACTAAGCCAACGAAAATCTCTAAATCAAGAATTTATGGGTTATACTATATTTATACTTTGGCAAAGGAAAGACTTAACACTCTATAAAGAATACAAATTCTCAACGAAAATCTTTTAATCATGAATATACATTGTAATTGCTATATTTATGCTTTCTGCATCAGCTGCTTTGCTTAAAATGTTTATTTGTGATTGAAAATGATTGTTGCGCCGTGTTGTGTTGCATGTTCCTCAGCAAAGCCAATAATACCCTTTGCTAAAAGTGTGAAACATCTGCTGGGCCTGCAGCCTCCTGTTGCCTGTCAGCGCAATGTTTACAAACAGTTTGCATCATCAGCTATGCTGCAATACTCTAATGGGCAACTAATAGCGCCAGTGACGTCAGCAGGGATGCTGCTCGGGCTAAGTGCTCGGCGCTGCTCAGATCTGATCTGCCTGGCAAACGCAATTAGCTATTGGCAATTACAATCGACAATCAACAGGCGGCTGTTTAACCAGCCCTTGCCATATATATATATATATATATATATATATATAGTTTTTTTTGCTACTCAAGGCCAGAGATCTATGAAGATCTCTAAAGCGATAAAGAGAGTGAGGGAGAGGCTCTTTTCAAGTGCAGCTGGAGTGGAGTGGGGCGTGCTTTGCTGCTGCTGTGTAATTGCCAATGTAATATTCGCACGCCCCAAACCCTCCCACACACCCACCCCCTCCTCAAACCCCCCTTAAGCGATTCAAGTCACGCAATTGAATGCGTCGCCTTTGTTTCTCCATGCGAAATTAAATTTCCAAATTGACTACCGCGCATTTGCTTAGCTCACTTTATGAACTACACACACACATACACATTGTGTATATATGCATTGCTATAGTTATCAAGCAAACCCACAGCCTCCATTCGCCCCTCCCCTCCACTCCCCCCTTTCGACAAGCGAGCAGCGTTCTTCCCCCTTGGACCCATTTCTTGTCACATCTATAAATCGTGTTTATTTGTATTAAAATAGCCATCGGCTGAATTTTATTGTATTTGTATACACTAGAAGCGAGTATTACGGCATGACACATACATTGTGACAGACATTATTAATTTGTTTTTATGGAATTTGGTTTAATAATAATACCTTTTCGCCTAGCTTACAGTTGTACCATATATTTAAACCAGTTTGTCAAACCGAAATGAATTTGAAATTCAGGTAAAGATTGTGAGCTGTTACAACCTGTAACAAGTTCTTTAATACGTGCTTATTTTTTCGTTTTAAGTTCCGCCTCAGAATTTCAATCACTAAAGTTGCGGAATTCTTTGAATTTTGGTTCCGGCTTAGGGTTTTAAACTAATCAGTAAAGCTTTGCAGTTCCGGAACTTATGTAAAATATCGAAAAATTCTACTGGAATAAATTACTTATTTAGCAAGATACAACTGAGATCAGATATGTTAAACATAAAATCTAATCAATATATTGGTTAGAGTATTTCATCTTCGATATTGTGTAAATAAATATGGCATTTTCGTGTCTTCTCATTGTATCCAACTAAAAGTCTGGTCAAAAACAGCTTCTGGCTTTTCGTTGATTTATGATTTAATTTATGTTTTTATTAATGCGTACGTGACATTTGCTAATTTTTCTCTTTGTTTTTGCTTAGATTTCCACTGAAAATTGTTGGCGAAAAATGCCCTCGTGCCGATTTTGCATGCGTGTGTTTTCGAGCGGAACACAAATCAAACACAGATTTTTCAACTTGGTATTTTGAAGAGGGGGGACACAGCAGTAATAGAACTAGAACTGGAACTGGAACTGCCCACTGTCCGAAAAATCCAAAAATAGAAGCAATCATAACTTAATTGATTTGTTATGGCCACACAGATTGCCCCTATTTCACTAACTCTCTCTCTCTCTCTCTCTGTCTCTGTCTCTGTCTCTCTCTCTCTCTCTCTAGAGAGAACGTTGAACTCTCGTGTTTTGTATCTGTGAAACATTACGTAAGACTTCATACAGTTAAAAGATAAGCAATTCAAGCAATTTAGCTGCCAAAAGGTGAATTGATAAACACGCGAGCAGCTGTCGGGCGTTTCAAGAGCGTTTCCATTGCGTTTTTAAACGCCAAGTGCAAAATGATCGCTGTTTAATTTACGACTGCTTGTCAAAATCATTTTAGCTAACTAAAAGCCACACAAAAAGTATGGCTTTAACTTTAACATTTTGCAGCTGAGCGCAGTGCACATTAATTAGCGGAAATATGCAAATGGATCAGGTGGCAAAAAAGGAGGGTTACTTAAAACTTACCAAAGCCCTCAATTAGCACAATGATGCCTAATATTAAATCGCGTAACTACTTACACACTTGGCAAATGATGCTATTACAAATTGAAAGCCAATCGCAATTGAATTTGTAATTGGCATACAACAATTTCGACCTAAAGTCACGTTTTTAACATAAAATACAATATTAATCTTGCTCTTGAAAATCGGCTAAGTTTTGACAGACTTATAACTAGGGCAACGTTAGACACTTCCCAGAGAATCTTTTGAGGTAATAGTCTTAACTTTAATTTAGTATTAATGTAGTATTGATCGAGAGGTAAAACCATATTCAAAACACCCTTGAAAATCTGTTGACTTTTGACTAGATTTGACTAGTTTCAGCCAATTTTATGGAGTCTTAAAAATGTACTCGAAATCAGAATGTGGACAACGATTACACTCAGGTATAAGAAGTCTGTATTATTTTGTCAAGTGCTCGTATCAATATACATCCTGATATCATAAAACCCACTGCTTTGGCATTCATCTCAAGCCAGAGACACGCGGCCGGAACAAACTTAATCGTTTTGGGTACGAGCAAAACAAATAAAATTTGTGTTAATATCGTATGCAAGACACATTGTCTCATACAGACATATAGAAGGCTGAGAAACCCTTTTAATCAACGACTGTTTGGGGAATTCTCGCGTCTCTCGCATTTTAAATTAGACAGTCGCTGGATGAGTGTCGAGACATTTTCCAACTGATCGGTTTGATCTTCGGGTCTGGCGGCATTAGACATTTAATTTATTACTTGTACACTCGTCTGCATTTATATTGATATGGGCCCCCATGAAGAAGAAGACGAATACGAAGACGAAGCAGACCCCCTCATCTCTCTCTCTCCTTCTCATTCTCTCAATCTATCTCTATCTGGCTGGCTGTCTCTGTCTATTTTAAATTATGTGAATAGCGTTGACCTTAAGGGGAATAGCCACAGATAGATAAGTAGTAGGGGCAAGGGAGGGGACGGGGAGGGGTGCAAAACACATTTCCTCACACATTTTTTGAGTGCCGCTTTGGAATTTTGTAAGAGTTCGTTTAGACACAACGGAATTTTCGTATTCATATTAAGACTACAACTTGAAATACTTTTTGGCAAACCAGCGGCGAGCGTGTGGAAAACTTAAAAAAGAAAATTCTTTAGGGAGGGGCGGCCTGAGCTTGTGCTTTTCATATTGGTTTATTTTCGAACTGCGTATTAAGTAATTTGCATTAAAAACGCCTGAAAATCGAAAGCACTACTGAAAATATTTGACATCAAACGCTATTTTTGGCATTATTCGAAAAATAAATGAAAAACTACAAAGGGGGCTGGGGCTGGGGCAGTGGCAGGCGGTACGGTTTTGGTTAAGGTTAAGTGCAGATACTGCCACTAGCGTCTAATGCCAAAATCGTTTTTGGCAGCCTCGCCAACAAAGCAACCACAAAGAAGAAGCATCCCCACGATATATTGAATAGTTTTTGACAAATTTTTCAAATCTATTTGCAACGCCTGCGTTGTGGAATATTCAAAAATTGACAAATAGGAAAACTAAGGAAACTGTTGACACATTTCCAAATAGGAAGGGAGGGTGTTAAACAAAAAATAAGAAACATATTCAAACCGGTTTCTCTTGTTGTTGAGCACCTTTCATGGCTGCAGTTGCAGTTGCAGTTGTTGGCCCAAATTCGAGTCGCGATCAGGTAGCTGAAACGCGAAGCGTTAACAACAAGCAAACACACACACACACACACACACACACATGCAAAGAGCCAGGTGTGTGTTGTGTCACATTCTTGTAGCGGTTTGCTTTCATACACATTATAATACATAGTTGAGGCTTCAATACTAGAACACTCCCACTTGTTTGTGTTTGATGTTGCCATACGACATTATTTAATGAGCCACAAAATAAACAGAAATGCGCCGAGAACTAAGAACTGAGCGTGTTTAATTAGTTAAGCTGCCCTCTATCTAAATCTTTGGGCTTGAAGTCGCGTGCGCCTCTTGGTCATTAATCTCGGCACATCTCGCACAAGTGTGGGCAACATTTCTGTCCACTATCTACCTCAGTCCCGAGTCTTGTTAACGCGATTTGTTTAATGTACTGCTTAACTTATCTGGCCCGCAAACAAAATCTATTTAATTGCTCGGAATTGTATCATGAACATTGCTGTTGACTTGTTTCTCCTATTTTTTATATTTTTCGTGGTTTGATGACATGTCACCATTGTGAATTTGTTAATTTATTTGAGTGCGAGCTAATTATTTTTATTGTGACTTTCGAGTGGCGCGTTTTAAAACGCGTGCAAAACGCGCTCGTCACAATCTGCATGTTTACCTCAGATAATTGACTCAGACAGCAGGTGGTGGTGGAGGGGGAATGGGAGACTCAAACAGCAGCTGTCATTACGTCAACCGTCAAAATAAGCGTAGCTATTCTGGCCCAATTGTCTTGGCAGATCACTGAACCCGTTAGCAGCGAATACTTTCTTGCTGGGCACAAAGTAAAAGGGTCACACGCTGTGTGGCTCAGCAAACCACAAAAGAGAAGAAAATAGATAAAGAAATATGCACGTTCCCAACTGATTAATGTTAGGCGCATTAAATTTCAGCGCTTTTCATTCATATGCAAAAAGTTGGACGCCGTCGAAAATTAGCCGGGAATTTCGCTTGAGTATTTTGTTGAGCTCATCACAAAACAACATTTTGTTGTTGTTGTTCTTTGTGTTGCTGTTTTAACGTTGTTGGTCAAATCAAATGTCGTGTCAATACGATTCTAAGGCGTATCATGTTAATTATATAACCAAAAGTATTAGAAACAGGTTTTCTCACACATTATTTGTGATTGCCGCAAAGCAATTTATTATTATTTAAAAATAAACAAAAGTTGTTGTTTGCTTTTCAGTAACAATTACAATATACAATTCCTAAGCAGTTTAATAGTTGCCTCATGGAATTATTAGACAATTAAGTGAGATATATATTCACATGTATATATATCTTAAAGATTACGACACAATTATGAACTGTTGCCAAATACTTAATTGACATATTATGTTAATGGGACATTTAAAGCGCCATAAAATCAAACACGAGTAAGTATAAACCCACACAGACCTAAATTTGATTATTTGAAATGCACTCGGGAGACGCAATGGATTTCTTAACCGATTCGCACAAGCTGCTAACGGTCAACAAGTCAAACAGGAGGCAGCGAGTCAAACAGAACCGCACGCGAACGCGTCTAAAATGAAACTGAAACAGCGAGCGGAATCCACGAACGTTTATAGCAAACGAAGAGCGGCGAGTGTGCTATACCCGTTCTACCCGCTCTACCCGCTTTGCCCGGTCTGCCTGCTCACAGGTAAAACCGAATCCGATAAAAGACGCGAGCGGTTAAGCGGTTGATAGCGGTTGTTAGCGGTTGTCACCGCAAGAGCATGTCAAAACTTTTCCAGATCCTAATAGGAGGGCAATTACATACATATAATATAATATACGCATTAATTATAATTCTTTGAGCTGATAAGTAAATAAACAATGAGGGACTTTGATGACAGTTTAGCCATACAATTAATCAGAAAGATTATTTTAGAGCCTGTCAGTTAAAACTTTCATTTGATTCCACTTAAAGAAATCAGATAACAATTCTCCGTTTCATTGTGTTATTTCTGGACGTTGAAGGACCGAATAACATCACATTCCGAGAACAAAATGGTTAATTATTATTGTAATTCGCTTGAATCAATTTAACCACTTAGTTTGACGATCAGCAAGATAATGGGAAAGTCTACTACTATAAGTAGGTAAGCTATTATTAGTATTCCAGCTAAGATCCTTTGTGGTAAATGGCATACATTGTTTTGATAAAACTTGTAATTAGAAGATCATATAAAATATCTATATTCGAGAATAGGACGCACTTGTAAAAAATAAGGAGTCTTAAGTAAGGGATCGTTAAGAGCTTGTGACCTGAGACAAATGTTGCACACACCCCGTTTAATTGGGATTTCCAACTCAAGAAGTTCTTAGAAATGGAAAATGTCAAATACTTGACAGTCTTATATAAAAATAAAAAACTTTATCGGTACTAATGACGCAAGCAACACTTAAAATGCTGAGGGCTGCTTTATTACGTAAATTATCAAAGAAACCATTATCAAATATAACTAAGAACTGATTTGTGATTTCTTCAAGTGGCTGCAAATCAAAGTGTCAACTGACAGACCCAAAAATAATCTAAATGATTAGTTGTTAGGCTCTCACATTCAATTGTTCATTTATCAGCCTAAAGAATGATAATTTATGTATGCTTTATCATATGTACATATGTAATTGACTTCCTATAAAGATCTAGACAAGATTTGACATATTTTTGCAATGGCAAGTTGCCAACCGCTTAACCGCTCGCTCGGTTTTACCTGTGAGAAGGCAGAGTGGGTTAAGCGGGTTAAAGCGCACTCGTCGCTCTTCGTTTGCTGTAAACTGTCGTCGCTTCAGTTTCATTTTAGACTCGTTCGCGTGCGGTTCTGTTTGACCCGCTGCCTCCTGTTTGACTTGTTGACCGTTGTTGACCATTAGCAGCTTGTGCGAATCGGTTAAGAAATCCATTGCTTCTCCCGAGTGCATTTCAAATAATCTAATTTAGGTCGGTGTGGGTTTATACTTACTCGTGTTTAATTTTATGTCCCATTAATAATATATATGTCAAGATAAGATATACATTTGATACATATATACATACATATACATTTGAATATATTGCTCATTTAATCGTCTAATAATTCCATGAGGCAACTATTAAACTGAATAGGACTTATGTATTTATTTATGGTACATTCGTACTTAATTGTTCTGTAATTTTAAAGAAAACCAAACAACTTTTGTTTATTTTTAAATACTTTATTTTTACTTTTGGTTATATAATTAACATGATACGCCTTAGAATCGTTTTGACACGACATTTGATTTGACCAACAACGTTAAAACAGCAACACAAAGAACAACAACAACAAAATGTTGTTTTGTGATGAGCTCAACAAAATACTCAAGCGAAATTCCCGACTAATTTTCGACGGCGTCCAACTTTTTGCATATGAATGAAAAGCGCTGAAATTTAATGCGCCTAACATTAATCAGTTGGGAACATGCATATTTCTTTATCTATTTTCTTCTCTTTTGTGGTTTGCTGAGCTACACAGCGTGTGACCCTTTTACTTTGTGCCCAGCAAGAAAGTATTCGCTGCTAACGGGTTCAGTGATCTGCCAAGACAATTGGGCCAGAATAGCTACGCTTATTTTGACGGTTGACGTAATGACAGCTGCTGTTTGAGTCTCCCATTCCCCCTCCACCACCACCTGCTGTCTGAGTCAATTATCTGAGGTAAACATGCAGATTGTGACGAGCGCGTTTTGCACGCGTTTTAAAACGCGCCACTCGAAAGTCACAATAAAAATAATTAGCTCGCACTCAAATAAATTAACAAATTCACAATGGTGACATGTCATCAAACCACGAAAAATATAAAAAATAGGAGAAACAAGTCAACAGCAATGTTCATGATACAATTCCGAGCAATTAAATAGATTTTGTTTGCGGGCCAGATAAGTTAAGCAGTACATTAAACAAATCGCGTTAACAAGACTCGGGACTGAGGTAGATAGTGGACAGAAATGTTGCCCACACTTGTGCGAGATGTGCCGAGATTAATGACCAAGAGGCGCACGCGACTTCAAGCCCAAAGATTTAGATAGAGTGCAGCTTAACTAATTAAACACGCTCAGTTCTTAGTTCTCGGCGCATTTCTGTTTATTTTGTGGCTCATTAAATAATGTCGTATGGCAACATCAAACACAAACAAGTGGGAGTGTTCTAGTATTGAAGCCTCAACTATGTATTATAATGTGTATGAAAGCAAACCGCTACAAGAATGTGACACAACACACACCTGGCTCTTTGCATGTGTGTGTGTGTGTGTGTGTGTGTGTTTGCTTGTTGTTAACGCTTCGCGTTTCAGCTACCTGATCGCGACTCGAATTTGGGCCAACAACTGCAACTGCAACTGCAGCCATGAAAAGTGCTCAACAACAAGAAGTTTTACACTATACGAACGCATAGCTGCAAAATTGCGAATTGAATATTTATATGCAAAAGGAAAGCGCACGAAAATTAAGTGGCCCAGCCCTTTATCGATATCCTTGAACTGCCATCCAAAACCAGCCGCAACGAGTGTCATATGTGGCTCGTGTTGGGATTGAGACTGACACTGACTAGAGGGGAAAGTGGGATGGGGCGAAGGAGGGAAGAGGGAGAGACGTGTAGCGTCCAAAAAGGAGTGGCATTTAAATTGCTCGCCTGGCGTCTGCCAAGGAGTTGACTTGAGTTGAGTTTGGTCAAGTCAATAAGAGGGTGGAGCCTCCAACCGAGATTCTGATGAAATTTTAGTCAAGGAAAATGGCAACACTTACGCACACAAACATATACACACACATTAATATATGTAGAGGCTGCCTCGAAGTTAGGCTAATGATTTTGTGACCGACAAATTGCTGCAGTTTTCCACCATATTTGAAATCAAATTTCAAATAATTCTAAGGCACATCATATTTATTATATAATCAAAAGTATTAGAGAACAATAATTGGCAAACGTCGGAAACAGGTTTACTCACACAGTATTTGACATTTAAAAACAATTAAAAGGTGCTAATATTTAACTAAATAAATTTTCATATTGAATTTAATGGAATTTTAAGGTAATTAAATGAGATTTATGTATATACGACACAATTGTGAACTGCTGCCAAATACTTAATTGATAAATTATGTTAATGCGACATTTAAAACGCCACAAAATCAAACACAAGTAAGTTAAAATCCGGGCAGATCTATATAGTTGATAGTTTGAAATGCGTTCGAGAGAAGCAATGGATTTCTTAACCGATTCGCACAAACCGTTAACGGCAAACAAGAGTCAGTGAGTAGAATAGAACCACACGCGAACGCTTCGAAAATGAACTAAATGAATGAAATGAAAACACATTTTATTATGCTCAGCAGAAGACGGTAAAATTCTTAAGAAAAGCAAGAGCTTGTTATTTGGATATGTGGAAACTTGTGTGAATCATAGAATAGGAGAGAGACTTACACAATCCTAAAGCCTTACTACTAATCACGATGATTATTTGAATTACTGTTGATTCCAATTCACAAATTATTGAAAATTAAATTCTTTTTTTATGCGGCTAGATACAGAACAGACAACAGTACAAGGCCAGTTGCAACGAGATGAAGTTACCTTCTTAAGCTTTTAGAGAAACGCATCATCTGGCAATTCGTTGGCGGACTCCATGGCTAAGAAGTGCTCGATTGCGAGTTTGAAATCCCAGTTGGCTTCCTCTTGGACGACACGCGTGCACCATTTGGGACGCAGTCCAGTTAACTCCTTGAATATGTGCAGCTTGTGCTCCTTGCCATCGACTGAGCTGTCTTCTTTGGATTGTAGTTGTGTTGGTTCAGCGACCACCTGGAACTTAAAGGCATCTCTCAGTTGCTTCTTGGCGGGATTCATAATGTTAAAACTCTCATTGACGATCCTCATGCGACGCGCTCGCTTTCCAACGCCCTGTTGAATGAGAGAATAAAAGACTAATAAACTTTAGCATGGAATGCGATTTAGACAAGCTACCTATCAATCTATATTACCAAGCCTACAGCATCCACTTTGAGCACAAACTGCCTGCTAAAAGCGAGCAACAATTCCGGCTCATCGCGCAGCACACCATTCACATAGATCACAGCCATATTGGGGTCATAGTGGAGCACATTCGTCTGCAGTGATACATAATCATGGGTAACCACTGGCAACTGCATGAGGACCTCCATAATATCCTGTGCACCCACATTGATGCGGCACGTGTCGCGAGAGTTTTTCAACAGATTTCTGCTATGATAATTGTATTTGTTGATGCGTTTAAACAGCTCATTCGATGGTCGGGCGCAGCGTGTAATATCATAACTGCAAGTCAATGTGAATATGGATTTATCCGAGTAGAATCTTCTCAAATGAATGCGCTTATCCAGCTGCTCGAATTCACGCAGAAAAGGATACAAGAAGAGCTCCCCGGTTAGTTCATAGGCAGCTGTATCGCATAGGTAATCTTTTTGGGGCGCCAAACCCGACCGACTGCTCAGATCCACATCATCCAGCGTGAGCAGACCCGAACATATTTCCTTCACAGCCTTGATGTACGCACTGGGCAGAGGATATTTGCGGCACATGGGATTACCATGGAGACGCAACGATTTCAACGGCACTTCTCGCAGCACATCAATATCTGCTAAATCATGGATCCAATTGTAGCCCAGATCCAGCGCCTGTAGACTGCCCAGTAGCGATAATGTGCGCAAACTATTCAGACTTATAATCCCATTACTGCCCAGTCGCAGATCCTGACAACTGCCCAGAAACTTGCGTGCCGCCATCCTCAGTATGCTTTGCAGGATCTTTGGTGAGCTGAGGAGTACAATCACATTCTCCAGGCCATCGGCCTTTTGGAACTGTTCCAAGTTGAGCACACGATTGATGGCACTGTAGCGTTTCTGCATTGCCAGCTCAATGCATTTCTTGGGCTCCACTTGGCCCTGTCTAAAGACGCAGACGCCCATCCGCAGATAGTAGGGTATCCGACGACTATGACTTAGGACGTGCTCCTCGCCATCTGCCACCAGTTGAGGTATTTCCATCATCAGATTGCAGCTGTGCACCAGATACTCAATCTGATCGTAGCAGCAACGTACCAGAAATTTATGCTCGCCATCAATATACTAAAAACATAATGATATATATGCTATTTTAATTATGTATAGACTCTTCGAAGAGTAATCTAAATGTGTCTTAATTGCATTATAATGTATAGATAGTTAAACAAGCTTAATCCAGCTCACCCTATAGTAGCAGGGATAAAATTCGCTCAATTCTGGCGACACCGAAATAAAGAAAAAGTTGAAAAAAGCCTCCTTCAAAAACTCGTGTTCCGGATCAGGTATCTACAATAGTTTGGTACAAATCATAATTATTCATATTGTTGCAAAAGAACCCAGGAGTGACGCGTACCAAAAATGCATGCCAATCATCGCTGTCTTTAAATTGGGCCAAATTGGATTTGCATCTGGCATCAACTCGGACGCCATCCGACTCCGTATCGATCTCATAGTCGAGTGGCGTGTACAACTTTCCCAGCCTCTCAAATGGAACGCCATCCTGCAAAGACTTATTAGTAGTAAAGAGTGTTCATTACTAGCAACCACAGTTTAGCTTACCACAATCTCAAAATTGCCAATTAATGGCCTCAGGCAGTTAGGATAGTTGGCCAATCGGGTTAGGGGATTTTGAGCCAGATTTATTTGCTTGGCTCGAAAACGGGCCAAGTCGGCACAAAGACGCTTTGAGGAATGTAACTGTAATTGTAACAGAGGCATTGAAATGGAGAAAAGTTTGCAGTTTTAAATAGGTGATGAACCCTCACCATATTGCCGCTGAGATCGAGCAGGCCATAGTCGACATCGCCAAAGAGTTTCAGCGGTCCCAGATCGCTAATCTGATTATTGGCCAGATTAAAGCCATTAATCGATCGACGGCGATCATCGTTGTTGTAAATGGTTGTGCACACCAGCTGCAACGTGGCCAAATTGGACAATCTGACCACAAAATTACTGAAATACGGATTTGTACCGAAATTGCTCAGATTCAGCACTCGCTGCACGCCCTGGTAATTCTCCAGATTGTCCAACAGGTGGTCAATTACCTGTTTAAAAGATTTTATTTAATAGCAAAAATAAATCTTTTAAAAATGATCTCGTCTATTATTATAATGAGCAGGCGTTACGCCCGTTGCTTTGAAATCCCGCTAATCAGTCTTAATCGTTTTGTCAGGCAGCGAAAAGAGATAACAACACTTGTATTGCTGTGAGTTTCTTGCGAAAATAAAGCAACGAAAAGAATATAGGCCACCAATCGAGTTCGTTGACGGGTGTGCTCGCTAGCTATCTCACTTGATCGCACGCGCCGAAAAGAGTTGAAGATACAGTGTCTCACATCTCAATAGGTCCAGTGTCTAGCTAGATGAGCCCAAATTCAACATTTTTGGCTTAGACGGCGGAATTATGTGTGGCGACAGTCCAATACTGAGCTGAATCCCAAAATTTTAAATAACATTTAAATCTGGAGACTGGGCCGGTGGAATTATCATGTGGGGGCAGTTCCAGATATGCCAGGACTGAACTAATCCGGACTTATGCTTGGTTGTTGTCCTGGTCGTGGTCCTGGTAGAACCGGAAAGTACGTCGGATTCCTAGCTTCTCGGCACTTTGGAGTTAATTTTCCTTTAATATATTGATATACACATTCTTGTCTATTGTTGTTTCAATGAACACCAAATTTTTGACGCCGGCTTCCGAGATAGATGCCCATACCATGACACTTCCTCCGCCGTGCTTCACTGTTGCATTTAGGTGTTTCGGATTCATCTCAGTATTGGACTGTCGCCACGCATAATTCCGTCCGTCTGAGCCAAAAATGTTGAATTTGGACTCATCTTCAAATATGAATGTGTTCCAGAACTCCAAATCCTTGTCCAAGTGGGTTTTGGCGAACGTCATCCTAGTCCCTTTATTTTTTGCGCTTATAAAGGGCTTCTTCCGTGGTACTCGGGCATTAAAGTCATGGTTGCGCAGAACCCGGCGCACAGTTTCCACACTGCACTTTTTCCCCATTTCATCCTGCACCTGTTGAGTCAGTTTTGGAGCCGATAGCTTGTGATTTTCCCTTATTTTCCTGATGATCCTCCGCTCCTCCTGTTCGGTGAAAATCTTGTTTGATGCATTTCTGCCCTTGTCCTCTATCCGATTTCCGTCGACGAAGCGCCGAAAGACGTTGAATACAGTTGTGGTGCTTAGATTTACCATTTTAGCTATTTGGCGATGTGAATATCCAATCTTGAAGTGTTCCAGGATGAGATTCCGTTGCTCAATGATAGTCCGTTTGTCCATAGTCCTTGTTGGCTGCTGGCACCCGAAATGCATGATATAACTAAACTGACTACGAAGGATAGGTCTATTTATACCGAAAATAATCAACCTGACGTAAAAAATCCGGGTTTTATGGCACCCAGGTGTCCAAAACGCCCCTGGTCCAAATTCTATGTGACCAAAAATTAAGGTACTTTTTACATAACGCGACCTAGCAAGTGGGGAAACCCCAGTTTATGGGGGTCATATAGTCATTTAGGTGGTTAATATATGTACCTACCATCGGTCTTTGGAATTTTTGAAAAATGTTGGATAATTAGTTTATGGCAAGCAATTACATTTTTTGCTAGGCGCTGTTCCAGTTTAACTGAGAGACACTGTATATGCACGTGTTTGTTGTCAGTCAGCTAGGATCAGATCGGGCTTGTGAATAAAAACATGCGCTGCTCGTTTTTTTCACTCTTCATTGCCTGGGCTTGCCATAAGAAATGAGTGCACTTGCAGATCTTATTATTATTATAGGGAAATTTGCCAATAGTTTTAGAATATATTTAACAGCTCACTCGAGTACAGCACTCTTACTTGTTTGTATTTAATTCTCTTTGATGCGGTCAAATGGTGCGTGTGCAAAGCGATCGAGTTTCGTTCGTGTCTTTGTCTTTAACGGTGCGTACTGTTTTTCTACTCCGGTTATACTGCTCATTCTGAGCGCGTGTGTGAGTGAATTACCGTTCGATGGATGTTTTTTTATGTGCAGAAATAGCTGCATTTCTAACACAGATTTAAGTATGTGTGTGAAGATAGCAGCAACACTCTCGCCTTGTTATTGACAGTCGATTTTTGCGCTCTAACCTTTGGCACAGGTCTTGGGTATTTTAACTTTTGACCAGTTTTGTGACCAACTTCATAAAAACTTCAAATTTTACCTGTGAAATTATAACAATCGGTAAAATCTGTTGCGAATTGTATTCGGCCACATTGAACCAGACGGTCAAATAAACCTTGGCACCGGTGGAGACCTGAATGCACAAGCCGCGCTTAAACAGATTGTCTACGGCAGGTGTGCAGGAGCGAGCGAGAAAGCTGTCCACAAGGTGTCCGCACTGCAAAATTCAGCATAAAATGAACAGCAAATTAACAGAGATCTCTAACAGATTAGAGAAGTCAAGTTGAACACCCACCTTATAATTGACTGGTATAAATTGTTGACCTTCGACAGCATCGAAGATGGCGTTGAGAATCAGCTGATGCGGATTCGCCGTAAAATTGAGAACACCCTCGTGATTCACACGAATCTCGAGCCAGTTGATGCCCGGACTATTTTGATAACTTTTACATTTGTAGTATTTTCGGGCATTCTGATAAAGCACTAAAATCGGTTTACAGCGATCGCCCAGCTGAATAATGCGATCCGCTGCTGCAAGCGAATAATTATTTATTATTTGTTTTTATAATTTAATGCAAACCTTACGCAGATTTCGACTCGCCGGCATTTTGGCTGTCAAACGATAACCGATCAAAACAATGAACACTGGATTAAATTATCGAGAACGATAATTTATCGAAGTGAACAAAATGTATGCTCGAATTTTGTATATTCTTAATGTATATCTTTCTTAATGGCTACAACAGAGTCTTGCTCTCTACAGCAAGTGAAAACATTTTCATTTATTTCTTTGCTGTCTTCTTCTTGGCACTGCTCTCCTTCCTGCCCTGATAGAGTCCCGTATAATACCCGGACATGTACCAAGCGGTGAGCATGGCAACAAAATCCTGTTCTGGTTCACCATCGATGCCACCGCCTGGTGTAAACATTGGCGGCACCAGTGGCATTGGTGGCATCACCAAACCCGGCGAAGGACCTGCCAAATGTCCCCGATTTGTCTGCTTTCCTTTGCCCGTCGACTTCTTGGAGGTCTTTGCACGTTGTTGCTCCTGCTCCAGCTGCTGATGCTCCTCTCCGCCTTCTGCTTGCTTGGCGCTTAAGATTTGCTCGCTACGCGCTTTGTTGCCCCAGCTGGGCAGCAGGAGCGAGAGTGGCACTTCCTGTTCATTCTCATAGCCCACGTAGCGCAGTACGCATTTCTGTGTCTGCTCATCGATGGACAGCACAGTGGCCTCGTAGTCCAGGCCATCTGTGTAAGTGGCCCTGGCAAAGTCGCCGACTTGGAACACATTCTCCTGATTCGGTTCCGATTCCGCCGCGGTTTTGCTGTTGTCCTCGCGTCGATTGGTCGCATCGGCTATGCGACGAGCGAGCGTTTCACGGGCCAAATTTACAGAATCATCGTATGCCTTAATCAGTAGGCTATCATCCCAAACATTCTTGTCCTCTGACATTTTTAAAGCCGGTTTTCGTTTCGAAATTTGCGAAAATGTCAAAAAATGTGTCGGCGTCTTCTACAGCTATCGATACTATTGCTTCACATATCGACAAGAAAACAAGAGTTGTCACCTGAGTAGATATTGTGTCGCGCGGTGAATGGCAATAAAAGAGGTAAAGGAAGAAGCAGAGCAAAAGCGAAAATCATTCTCCGCACGCAAATTGTGTTTTGCTTTAAAAATTATTAAATAACTATATTAAAATGGCTACAGTGGAGTCTCTTTACAAGGAGCTTACGGCTGAATGGACAAAGAAACCGCCAAATACGCCGAAATGTGGGCAGCTGTTGGATCAGCTGAAAGTGGCGCTGGTAAAATTGGCTTTTCTGCCCACAGATGGCAACGATGCCCAAAACTCAAAGCGACAACTTTTGCTGGCCCGCTCCGTGTTGGAGGTGGCCGTGGAGCACAGTGTGCTCAGCAAGGATCTGCTCGCCTTCGAACGGTACATGTCTCAGCTGAAGTGCTACTACTACGACTATGCCAAAATCATCGGCGAATCGGATAACAAATACAAATTACTTGGCCTCAATTTGCTGTATTTGTTGTCCGGGAATCGTGTCTCTGATTTCCACACCGAGCTGGAACTGCTCTCGGTTGACATCATTCAGCATAATCAGTACATCCGACCCATTTTGGCACTGGAACAGTACATCATGGAGGGACGCTACAATAAGATTTTCCAAGCAAATTCTTCAATGCCCGCCGAGATCTACAATTATTTCATGGATCTGCTGGTGGAGACCGTGCGTGATGAGATTGGTGCCTGCATTGAAATGTCCTACGAGAAAATCTCTGCCAAGGATGCCGCAAAGCGACTCAATCTTCGTGTGCCGGACGAGATCAAAGCCTTTGGCGAGAAACGCCAGTGGAAACTGGAAGGCAATGGAAATTACAGTTTCACCGATCGAAGCATCAAGCCCAAGGAGCTGCTGCCATCGGAAGAACTGGCGGAACAGGTGCTCAGCTATGCGCGTGATTTGGAGATGATAGTCTAACATCATTGTAACTATAATAAATACTTCAATAATACATTAAATAAAGTAAAAATTAAATTGTAATAGTAAAGTGTGGCCGTACAACTAATGTATCGATCACTTTATAACTGAAGTACATCGATTTTTGAAAGAGTGGAAAAAATTCTTTGCTGCGATTAATTGTTATAGAATTTGGTGGAAAACTTATTGAATATGGCCTCCAATGCAATGAAGTCTAGTTTGAAATCATTGTCTATATAGTAAATATTTCAACATTAAAATTGTAGTTCAGTGTGGCCGCACAACTCATATATCGATGAACACATCGATAGTTTGGCACTCGGTGCACATCGATAGTTTGGCACTCGGTGCACATCGCTAATTTGTAGCAACGAACGGGTGTGGGAAAAATAGTCGTCGCTCGCTGCGATTAATTGTTAAGTAAAAATTTGTTAGCAAATTTGTTGAATAACCAACGCAATGGCCTGCAACGCAAGCAAGACGCATCTCTTGCGCTCAATCGCTGTAAGTCATTGGGGCTTGTCAACCCGCCAAACTTAACCAACAAAAAAGAAAAAACTTCCAATTGGTCAAAATCGTGTTACGTAAAACTTCAAGAAAAATGTTTGCAATTTGTAATTGTTATTGTTTTTGTTGACTAGAAACGCGGTTATGCCACCTGCCCACGTCTCGTTGGCGACACTTCCGCCATCAATGTGAACGTTCTGGAGAACAAACTGGTTGTGGCCACAGCCGATGCCTCCGTTCCCGTTGCCCGTGTCTCGATTGTGTTGCGGTAAGTTTATCGCCTCATTGGAGCTGCTTCCTCTCAAGCTGTAAGACTCTTTGCAGTGCCGGATCCCGTAATGAGGCCTATGACACACAGGGCGCTTCCCACATGCTGCGCCTCGCCGGGCTGATGAGCACCCAGAGATCGAGTGCATTTGCCATACAGCGCAACATTCAGCAGGTGGGTGGCACTTTGACCACCTGGGGAGATCGGGAAATCGTGGGGTATACCGTGGAGACGACAGCGGATAATGTGGAGACAGGTCTGCGTTATATGCAGGATCTGCTGCAGCCAGCTTTCAAGCCATGGGAGATTAAGGATAATGCCAAAACACTGCACAATCAACTGGATGCGGTCACCACAGAGGTAAGCTAATAAATAATACGCAAATATAAATAAATATATAGATAAAATCATATACATAAATATAAATTATAAATACAAATTTCACAAATTGAAATATAAATAATAATCAATTGCCACTCCCATTTTAAATATTGTTAGTGAAGAATAAATCTGAACTTTGATCTTTTGCAGGAGCGCGCCATTGAGCTGGTCCACAAGGCCGCCTTCCGTCGTGGTCTGGGCAACTCCATCTACATGCCCCGCTTCCAGCTGGGCAAACTGTCCCCGGAGAGTCTGCTGCACTATGTGGCCAGCACTTTCTCCGCTGGCAGCGCTGCTGTTGTCGGTGTCGGTGTCGAGAATAATCTGCTTTCCGGCTTTGCCCAGAACTTAAGCTTTCCCAGTGGCGGCGGCAGCGCTGCCCAGAGCTCGTCCAGCTACTACGGAGGTGATGCACGCAAAGATACAGCAGGACACCGGGCCGTAGTCGCAGTGGCTGGCGAGGGTGGAGCTGCCAGCAATCAGAAGGAGGCTTTGGCATTTGCCATCTTGTCGCAGGCTGTTGGCGCCGGTGCTGCCACCAAACGTGGCAAGGCAGCGGGTGCCTTTGGCGAGGCTGTCAACTGTGCTGGCGGAGATGCGCCCATCTCTTTCCGTGCACTCAACAGGAGCTACTCGGATGCAGGCCTCTTTGGCTTTGTGGCTGCCGCCGATGGCAAGGATATTGGCAAAGCTGTTGATTTTCTTGTGCGCGCTCTGAAAGCGGGTTCCATTTCCGACAAGGATGTGGCTCGCGGCAAGGCACTGCTGAAGGCACGCACCATCGCCAAGTACTCCTCGGACGGTGGCCTGATCAAGGTGATTGGTCGCCAGGCGGCGCTCAACAGAACCGTTCTGGAAGCCGACGCCTTGGTGGCTGCCATCGATGGCATCTCGCTGCAACAGGTGCAAGCCGCAGCCAAAAAGGTGGCCAGCTCTAAGCTGTCCGTCGGCGCCATCGGCCACCTGGCCAATGTGCCCTACGCCTCCGAATTGGCTTAAGTCTCTAGTTAATCGATCACCCCATGTAAAACCGTAAATGTAATTTAAATCCGTGCTGCAAATAAACCTGTTGGAAACCAAAACGAAAACGATTCAAGAGCTGATCTTACTATATAGTTGGATATAACTGGAGATGAGCCAAGCAGACAGCGAATGAGTTTATTGATAGATAAATAAATATTGTGAAAAACTACATTTATTAGAAAATAAACTTGGAAAATAGCTATCGCATTTTTCAATCCGTGCTGGAAACGAACCGAAAACGATTCTGATCTTAGTCTGTAAAAAATATCTGGAGATGAGGGCAGATCATGATTGAAATTAGATATTGAGATAAACTAATGAATATTGTGTGCTTATTTAAAAAAATGGTATCATATAAAGAAGCATCTTGAAACTCGAGTTGGGATCAGATGATGAATGAATTCATTGACAGTTAAGCAAATAATAATCTTATTGAAGAGTATTTGATTTATTAGAAAATCGCTATCGATGCCATTTGAAATTCTTATTTCTTAAAACACTTTTAATGACCGACTGCTGTTTATAAATAATCTTTAAAGTAAACCTTTTTTTAACTTTATTACAAACAATTTATAGCAAAATATAACTTTCAAAATTATTGTAAAAGGATCTGGTGAAATTAAAAACAGTTTTAGGAAATATCTTTGAGTTACTTAAAAAACTGAGTGGATTTTGGAATAGTTGATGTGTAAACATAATTAAAATTACCCACAGTAAAGGCATACTTATATCGGCTATAGAATATCATATAGATATTCGATCTTTATATATATATGCTGTATATATTTATGTTTATTTATATGTATTTTTTGATTTGTTTGATTTACCATCCATGAAAAATGCTTGGAATTTGCAGGCGTTTGCAGATAACATAAAATATGGGTTGTATCTATATATATGTATATACATAGATATTTGTATGTATATGTAACAATTGGATAAGTGGACACATTCGCCAGTTAACTAGACAAAGATGACGACAATGATGGCCACGAAGAGTGAAATGATCAGCAGCCAATAGCACCAGGTGCTGTCGCGTCTGTTCACCTGGCTGATGTTGCGCGTCTCCTGTTGCACGCCCAGCTCGACGCGACCCATCGTATTGGACAGATTGTCCAGCAGATCGTTCTGATCCTCGACCTCTTGGCCCAGTTGTGTGGCAAGGCTGCGTTGACGCGATATTGTCGCTGACAGCGCCTCCAGGCCACGATTCTGATGATCCAGAATCTCAGCCTGGCGCTGCTGCAGCGAGACAACATCGTGGGGAGGAGGTGGATGGGGAGGAGCAGGTGCATCATTGCTGCCAGCTGCCTGCCAAAACGAGCCGCTTGTCGTTGTCTGCGCCAACTGATTGGCGCGTGTGCTGCTCGTGAAGATCGCATCGATTTCCCGCAACTGCGACTCCAACTTGTCCCAGTTGATGCGACGCTGTTGCAACTCGTGCTGGGGACTCGTCTCCCAGGTGATGGCATTGTCCAGCATCACGCGCAGATGCTTCAAATCCTTGCGTAGTTGCTCAATGCCTATCTGTATGCTGTCCGTTAGCTGAACATATTCCCTGGAGTTGACCAACAGCTGGCGGCGATCGTTCAACTGCCCCAAAATCTTGCGACGCAAACGTTCGCAGCCCTCATGCTCGATATCCCTGCAGCAATAGAGTCAAACATTTAGTAACTGATAAATAATAATTATTGTGCTCACCATGAGTCATGATCCACCAGCGACATGTTCACTTAACGCATTTGTAAGCGTTCCTCTTTATGCGTCGTTTTTTATTGTTCGTTTTCCAATGTTATTTTTGTGCAACGCGCTCAGCTGTTTGATTAACAGCATTGGGCATTGTACTAAAATGGTACTGTTATAAACAGCTGCGAGTGGCGCGCATTTTTTAATTTTACAACAAAATAAATCTGTGTTAGTTTAAATCTGCGTTTTTAATGAAATCAAGCAAGAAATTAAGTTTTTATCTGAAAATTGCATTTTGACAAACTGCTAACAGGCTTGAAAACCAATGCAGAAGTCAAATGTCATTAACATAACCCAGGGCTGCATAAGCAAGCAAAATACAACAGCAGACAGCTGTTTGCTGTTTGAGAAAATTGCAGTGAGCTTCAGCTAAGTCTATCTGTTGATTAAACACGGCTTGCACTGAAAGAATAGCAAAAATCTATGAGACATTGCTTATTTTAATAAATATTTTACATTGCACTTCTTAGCTAGCATGTGCTGTGTATTAACAACATACTGCGCTTAACATCGCCATTTAACAGCCAGATAACAGCTTTTAGCAACACTCACCCGCACCGTTGAGTCAACCTACCAACACTGACAACCAAATCATTATTTACGTTAAAAATAATTGCGTGCTGTGTGTGCCGTGTGTTCGGATCATTGTTGCCTCTTCGCCCGATTTCGAACCGAAAAACACCGTTATATGTTTTCAAAGCGCAGCCAGTGACCAGTTAAATGATTTAAATCCAATTCGTATACATTGAAAATTAACCAAAATTGTTACGTCACATGAAAATTTCGGTGTGCGGGAAAAGTGGTGTTGTTGTTGTTGATGATATTCCCCACAAGTAGCAGCAACCTTTTTATAGACAACGCCAGCGCTGCACATGCAGCAGCATCAGCAGTAACAACAACAACAAAAACTATTTGTATTTGTGTGTGTGTTGTGTGTAACGTATTAAATACTGCTACATAAGGACATAGAGTAGTCGTTGCGTTAAAATTCATGTTTACGTTGAACTGTCGTTATTTTTTTCGGCTCTCCGATATTCACTTGTAATTGTGATTCCTAGGCAGTAAGGTCTCTAATAGTGTAAAATAGAAGTAAAATAAAAAATAGTGTAATTCAACATTGAAATCGGAACCCCGCAAAACACAAGGAAAACATAAAACAAAACAAGAAAAAACCACCAATTAATCAATTAACCGTTTTACCGTTTTTAACTGTCATCGTGCATCCGTTAAACCTGCGCAACGTTCTTTCGTATTGAGTAATAACGTTCACGTTCACGTTACGTCGCAACTAACAACTAACCAAAAAAAGAAACGTTGGCGTCCCTCCTGCTCCTGCTCCTCCTCCCTCTACAATTTGTTGCGTGTCTGCGTGTGTGCGTGCGAGTGCGAGTGCAACAGCAATAGCCAAACCAAGAGTCTCTTCAAGCGACGCTTCGGGAATAACGGTGAGTGCGGGGGGCCATATTGTTCTTATTGTTTTTTTTTATGTGTTGGCATATTTAATGCAATTGGCGGGCGAAAATTCTGATCTGCTGCATGCAACTCGTTTTTCTAAACACACGCATTTATGTGCATGTGTGTGAGTGTGTGCATTAAGCGGAAAACGTGTATTTGTTGTAAGAAAAACCAGAAAATCGAAACCGGGAATTGGGTCAGTGTGTCAAATGCGAACGGGGAAAAGGTTCTTTTTTGCTTTTGCTTTGCCTGCTGCTAAAAAAAAAATTAAAACAAGTCTTGGCTGCTGGCCGATTTGTTCTTTGCATTTAGTCAACACTTGACGCTAGGCGAACCGCTGGCTGCCAACAGTGTTGATCAGTGTACACCAGAAAAGGCTAGTTTTTGTTGGGAAATAGTCGTTCAAATATCTTAAACAAATTCTTAGCTTTTATTTTATTTCTCTTTTTGTCTTGGCAGCTTTAGCAAAAAAGAAAATAGCTTTTAAAAGGTGTTTAGCTTCTTTTTTTAATAGCAGCTTTAGCGAAAATTGTATCAGTTATACTCAACAAATAGAAAAACTTTCAAGAAGTTAGAAAAAGGCCAGTTGTTGCTGGGAAATGGCGTAAAATAGCTAAACAAGCCTGAACTTATATTTTGAAAAGGCGAGTTTTGGCTACAATGAGCTGTAAATAATTGTTAGCACTGGTAAGCATCCAAATGGGCATTTCTGCATGCGTCTGTGTGTGTGTGCGTGTGTGTCAATCGCGCATGGTGTTTCTTTTGCTTGGCATTTAGGTGCGCTCTCTCTCCCTCTCTCGCTCACTCTCTCTGATTTTCTAGCGTGCTCGTTTTTCGGCCACTCGGCTTCACTTGATCTTGCACTCTGTTGACGCCGACGTCGACTGCAGCTACGACGCATTTACCTTGAGCGGCCTGCACTTGTCGCGCATTCTCACTCTCTCGCTCTCGCTTGCACTGCCGTTCGCTGTTTGTGTTACGTTTTCTTATTGGATTTGTTAAAAACTTCCAAAGTGGAGCCAAAACACACCTTTCAAAATTACCAATTGGTGCTTGCCAGTGTTGCTGTTGCTGAGGCCGCTTTTCGTGTTTGCTAATAAAATTATTACAATTTATTCGACTGTTGCTAATGCGTTTTAAGGTCGTACTCCCAGTTAGACAGCAAACAGACAGACAAATGGGCAGACGGACCCACTGCTGACCCATTAAAACGTCGTATTTCACATGATATGCGCCGCTTACATTTCGCGGTCCATTTAACAGCTGTTGTTGAGGTTATGTTTGACTTTGTGTGATTTATTAGGCGGCGACTAAGCAGAATCCAGTTGGAGTGAGTTGAGTTAAGGCAAAGTGCTCAGCAAATCAGAGGTGCTCTTAATTTATAATGATATTTGTATTTATATATGCTTAAATATATATATATATATATATAAATATACTTATTTTATTTAGCCTTAATAAGCATTTCACATAAATTCGAAATCGCATTTATTTATACAGTTATTTATTTAATTAGAGCTTGCTACACTTTATTACAACCTTTCCAGCCTGAATAAACAAGCTGAAAGAGTGAACAGGCCAGCATAGGAGTAGGAGTGAGGGAGAGGGAGAGCGAGAGAGGCAATAACATAACACGCAACGGTGACGTTTGCTCTATTTAAGGCTGCGCTGCTTTTACGCTAGTTCCAACTAGGAAACTGTTTCCTGTGTCGCCCACGCACTCTCTCCCTCTCTCTTTTACTCGTCCACTCTCGTTTTGATTCTCTTAACAGCCGACAGGCTTCGTTCGGCTTTGTTTAAGAGAGCGCGCCATGCTGCTGCTGCTTCGGGGTTGGCTGCTGCTGATGATTTTTGCACTTAAGAGCAAAAAGTGGCTTTGATTTTTCGTGATTAAATTGCTGTTGTTGTTGTTGTGTGGGGCGGGCGGGTTTGTGAAGAGAGCGCGTGTGAGCAACTTCGGCCCACATTTGCATGTCGCTCTCTCGCTCTGGCAAGCATGCGGGATACCAAGCGCCAATGTTAACCTATATAATTTTTTTTTCTGCTTGTTTTTTTTCGCTAATACAACAAAAACAAACGAGAACCCCCAAACCCAACCCCATAAGCGACAGCGATGTCTTCTGCGCTGGCAGTTGAAGGTTCTTTTTATAATTTAAAACATTTTTTCTTTTCCTTTTTGAGGCGACGACGTGCTCGTTGAGAGCGCAGCGACAGCAGCAGAGGAAGCTGCTTTTGTTGCCTTTGCTTTTGAATTTAATGTTAAGTATACGCATCAGTGAACTCAATTTAATTATCATGATTGTTTTTCCCCACTGTCTTTGCTCTCTCTCTGTGCTGAAATGCTGAAAAATTCAAATTTTCCAACTTCACATACACACACACACACCTACGTCCGGCTGTTTCATGTTCCCAGGCAGATTTCCATCGCTTATGTAATCGAGAGCTTTACTAAAAAATAAAGGAAAACAATCAAAAAAACGAAAATAAAAACTACGTAAGGTTGATAAAAGCGCTGGCCATAATTACGTCTATCTGTGTGTGATTAAGTGTGTGTGTGTGTGTGCACGCCCTTCGCCCAGTTTTTATCAGCGCCGTTATTTATGCGCCTCCGCCATGACAGATAGAACGACAGCCGCAGCAGCAGAGGGAGCAGCAGCAGCAGAGGGAGCACCAACAGCGTCGGCAGCAGCAGCAACAACAATAAGCATTTGAAGTGCAGCGTAGCGCAAAGAGAAAATAAAAACTGGCAGTTGCTGCTCTTATTGTTATTGCTGCTGCTACTCTTGTTGTTGTTGCTGCTGCTGCTGTTATAGAAGCCAAAAGCCCAAACGAAAAGCAATTAAGTCGCCATGGCTCATTGCACAATAAGCAAAGAATCAAAAAAACTCACGCAGCAGCTGCGGCGACGTCGGCAGCGGCAAACATAACTGTGTTTGCTTGGCCATCCATAGCACAGCAGCAGCAACAGCGATTTCAACGTCAAAAACTCTAATCGCGAGAGAGCGATAGCGACAGCGAGAGAGAGCGAGAGCGAGAGTGGTTGTGGGAGTTCAGTTGTTGCTACTATTGCTGCCTGCTTAATAAATAGGCCAAATATGTAATATCGCTAAAATGTGTTTATTGTAATCTTTTTCACACACACACACACATAGACACACACACAAGGCACGCTCTCGCACGTGCATTGCATCCCTCGCCCGAAAACAAAAAGAGCGCCAAAAAGCAAAGGGAGCGCAAGAGAACGAGAGAGCCGAGCCCGCAGAGAGAGCCGAACGCCAAGCAAATGCCGAATGCTCAGCCGAAATGCAAACGTAGCTGCTTGCGTCGCTGTTGACGTTGACGTCAGCGTCACTGCTACTGCTTGCTGCTGCTGCTAGCTGCCTTGTTGGGGGCCCAAGTTGGTCGCGTTGCGTTCGTCGTGTGTTGTTGGCTGAGTCGTTGTTCTACCGTCGTGATTGCAACACTTCTGCTTCTGCCACACACACACACTCTCTTGCCGTCGCCAAGTCGTCGTCGTCGCGCACACAAAACGTTTTTCACGTTTTTTTCGGTTTTCACACACTCACAAAAATATACATATATATACATATAAATATATATATATATATATACAAGTTATAAGTGAAACGACGTCGACGTCGCAGTCAACAGCAGCAGCAAAACTCGTACGTTAGACGACATTTTAGTAGCGTGCACACGCTTGTCTTTCTATATGTGTGTGTGTGCGTATGTGTGTTTATATAGCTCTGTGTGTGTGCCAGTTTTCGTGCGTTCTTCTGTACTGCAATAACAACAGCAACAACAGTTAACAACGAACGCGTCGTGTTTAAAAATATAAACTGCGTTTTTTTCGCCAAAAAAGCCATAAAAAGTATAATTCGTTTTTTTTTGTGTAGACCCGGCCAGACAAAAATTCAACGAAATTAAAATTACTATTTCGGCCAAGTGAGCCCAGGCAGCCAGGCGAAAAACGACAAAAACAGAAATCAGCGGCGGCCACAAATACATATATACATCTTATACATATATACAAACATATATATATATATATACATATATATATATATATATAAATGTCTGTATGTGTGTGTGTGTATATAAAACACATATAAGTTAGCATTGTGTGTGAACGTACTTGATTTTTGGCTCTGTAGATTTTATTGTTGCTGTTGTTGTTATTCTGTTGGCGATTTTCAGCGGAAAAAAAACAGTAACAACAGCAATAATGCCGCGGCAAGTGTCAGCCCCAATGAGAGAGCAAGGAGTTTATATTTTATGCGTGACACAGAAATTTCCGTTGTTTTCGTTGTTGTTTTTGTTGTTGAGAATTGAAACAATTTTTGTGTATACGCCAAGCTTGGAAAAGCAAGCAACGCCTCCCTCTCCCTTTCCCAGTGCCTCTACTCTGCCTCTTTCCCCCTCCATCGCACAGCAAATAGTCACAGAGTCATCGACGGCTCTCTCTCTCTCTCACTCTCTCTATAGCTGTCCTTTCATTACGTAGCGTCGTCCCTTGTGTGTTGCCATTTGCACACGCTGCGTATACGTAACAACGTAGTGTGGCCATAAACAACAACAACAAATACACTGCACGTATAGACGCTCGCACGCACACTGACAACTCGATAACCGTTATGTCCTTACGTTCTCTCTCACCCCCTCCCCTGCTCCGCTCTGTGCCTCCACTCTTGCATAGAAATTTGCTTTTATATATTCACGTTGGCATTTTGACTGCCCTTTGATGAGTTGATAAACCTACCAGATTAGACCCCCGCTCCCCTCCCACCCCCTCTCTCGACCTGCTGTCTCGCTCGCACACACACACGCACGCACATGTACTAAAGTTTTTTTTTCATAAAAAATGTGATAAAATATGAGAAATGTTTTGTATTTTAATGCCAAAATAAATATTTAAAGCGCACGCGTTCCGGTACAACAACAACCAAAGCCACAGCCACAAAAATAATAACAAATAACAAAAATAAGCAAA